GAACGCCGTCGAATGAGGTCATCCTGCATATGCGGAATAACCTCTTAATCGAAATCGACTACGTTTGGTATTGAGCTTCCGAAGTTTGGGAGAGAATGTCCTCAGAAAATCAGAGAATATGCAATCGACTACGTGAAGGTCAAACTCGCCATTTTGAAAGAAAACTGAACTTACTAAGATCGCGTCCACGGATTATCCAACAACCACGGTTTATCACAGCGAACGCTATCCCACCTACACGACATGTGGGTTATTGGAACAAATGAAGTAGACAGTGATATGGCTGCTGTTTTGAATCTTGGGCCATCATTTGCAATAACACCGAAGGTAAACACTACAGTAATCGACGCAGCGCTTTGTGGAGTCCATCAGTTTGCGTATCAACTACGCTTGGAGGACACATCGTGGACCAACTGTGCTCAATCAACATGAGACGCTAATGTCGTTGATGCCATTCAAAGGAAAATCCATAAAAATACCTCCATCTTCACGCGACATCGATGCGAAAATAGCAAATTTAGAACACAACATTCAAAGAATCTACCGGAGCGCAATGAGTGAGCCTTATCACAGTAACTTGACACCAGCAGAGCGAAAAGGGCTGAAGAAGTTACTGGACGCGAAAACCACATTAAGGTACACTGTGGGAGACAAATGCGGCTCTTTTGTAGTGATGCCTCAAACGATGGATAAGGCTATAGCCGTTCGAGTGCTTTCGGATACATCTGTATATGAAGAAAGTACTTATGCAGCGTTCGAATCGGTATGTAGAAGAGTTAAAAGTGCTACAACGTCGATAGTGAAGAAACATCTGAGTTCGGAAATGGCAAAACGATTGCATGGTATGGTTCCAGTAGTGCCAACGCTATATAACTTGGTGAAGACGCATAAAATTCCATCAACGGCTGACACAATGTCCCTGCAGCTTAACGAAGTCAAGACAAGGCCGATTATCGCATCATGTGGTGGACCGGCAGACGGACTGAGCTGGCTTCTAGTTCAGCTTCTAGCGCCACTTTTGCGATACGTAGGAGCACACATTGTGAACGTTGATGAATTTCTGTCATCCCTTCATCAGTGTCCAGTTCCGACGGCTGCCTTCTATGCGAGCTTTGACGTGGTTTCCTTATATACGAATGTGAACAACGAGGGCGCAGTGAATGCTGTATTATCACTCCTCGAGGAAAATCAAGATAACGTGTCGATGATGGGATTTTCCGCTAACGAAATAAGGAACTCGTTGAAGCAGTGCTCGAATGCAACATTTTTTGCTTCAATAACAAGTTTTATAAGCAAAAAGAGGCCTAGCCATGGGTAATCGTATTGCACCGTTGTTAGCAGTCATCTTTTTGGACCACATCGAAAAGTCATCACTATCCAGTGGAATTCTATTCTACAAGCGATATATCGATGACGTGTTTCTCATTGGAACAACGCAAGAAGATCTTGTGGAAACCCTAGAAAGACTGAACTCACACGATGCTAATATAGCCTTTACAGAGAAGATCCGGGAAGGGATGGTTTTCTACCGTTCCTGAATACGAGAAGTGCGAATAAGTAACGGCTACAAAGAACACCTGTGGTATAGAAAAAGTGCCTCTTCAAATATATTGTTGCATTCTAGAAGCGCTCATCCAACGTATATGAAGGCGAACGTTGTGCGAAATCTTCTGAAAACGAAGGAGAAACTCGGGACGCGAAGTGACCCAGACGTGGATGCCAAAATTGAAAGCATCCTTGAAAGCAATGGGTATCGAGAAGGAAATTTGGGAGCCTGGGTACCATACAGAACGTTAGATGGAATAACCCTCAAGATGCCGTATGTCAACGACAAAATGGCTCGTGAGGTGAATCGTGTTGTGAAAGATGCCCAGCTTCCAATTCGTCTTGTTTTTCGACCTCCTCCCACACTCAGAGACCTGCTCACATCATCGCGGGTATACGAGGATAGGTGCCACGAGCAGTATTGTCGATACTGCACTCCGAAAAGATCTGCGAACTCCAAGGCACAGTCTATTTAGTCCGATGTAGAGGATGTGGAGAAAAGTATGTGGGAGAGACTGCGAAGACCACTGAAGATTCGACCTGGACGAATCATAGGAGGGCGCTGATAAATCCCGTCTCGCCCTCTACCCACGCAGCAGTTTCTCCAGGCACCGTACGCTTAAGGCATACGAATGAGAACGCTCCATCTTTTGACGTGAGCGTTCTTCACAGACATATGATACGGCCCCTGGAGAGAAAATCATGGAAGCGCGGGAGATATACCGCATCAAGCCAGAAATAAACGCGAAAGAAGAGCTACGTGACCTTCTGAGGCTTTTGACTTGATCAGCGAGCCCCTTTCCCTCTGGAGTGGCGTCTCATTTCATTTTCAAGCCAACCCCGATAGGCCGCCCCTCTTCTTCTTTACGTTTCTGGTATGTATCGATGCATGATGTTCTTTGTGTTGTAGTTGCTGTTATTGTAATGTTAAGGTTGGTCTGATGATGGCATTATTGCCGAAAGCTTACCAATAAATACAAGACCAAGAGCTTCAAGACATCTAATCGAACACAATATCAAATGAGGCTCAGAGATAGCAGCATTTTACCAAAGTGAATTGTGTTCGTTTCGCCTCTTAACTCAGACGAACCACTATATTCCATCAACCCCCAGAGGCTCATCACTGACTAGGGGTGGACGAAATAAAAAAGTTTACATTACTAAGCGGATATGAGTGGAATAGTTGAATATGTAATTGAAGAAAAAAAGTGTTAAGATAGTGTTCTTGAACAGTGTCCGGTTTGTAGATAATGCTACCTTATATACATGAATATGATACTCAGTGAACCTTACCCTATGATTAGAGCAGATTATTATAAGGGTGCAAAAGATTCCTATAAACTGATTACATTAGGTAAGTAGTACAAGTGTGAAAGTTTAATAGAGAAAATTCATAGACATTACTTATACAATGTTAAATGATTGATTAATTAAATGCTCAATTTTTTTGAGATTATTTTCTAACCCATATTTATAAGAAATGAACTTATTTTTATATATACACTTTATTACACTGGAGACTACAAAACAGTGATTGTATTCATTATTTACAAGGATATTAATCATATCTTCTAACTTAACTACGAAAGTGTTGAACGCTGTACAAGTGTTAGCAATTCTGAGTGTTTCTGTGTATATAACAGTGTGTGTATGTATATGTGTGTGTATTTCTGTGTAATAGTATTAAAAATATTAGTAGTGCTATGTG